AAGTTTCTCAGAAGTGAGTTCCTGGAAGGGGAAGGAGAGAAGCCGGGACTGGAATGCCTAAGTGCAAGCAGCTAATCAGCAAGGAGCTGTTTTCCACCCATCAAGTTATTTTCTCAGGATGCATCAAGGCACAGAACGGTGCTGTGTTGGTTTTTTTTTAAACACGAAATCTAAAGGACACCCTCCAGCTCTGATATCCCATTTACTCAAGTGCACCACAAACTACAGGAAAAAAGAAATCTCTCAATCTCTTGACAGCCAGTTTTAAGGACAGCCGTACCAGAGAAGCCTTAAAAAAAAAAAAAAAAAAAAAAAAAAAAATCAAACAACACCTCAAAAAAGAAAGAAAACGTCAATGAAATAACGGAGACCTGCTGCCGTCAGCAGGTTCTGGACCAAGCCCAAGAGGAGAGGGCCAGTGAGGTTTTATTTGCCTCCCACAGAGCACCAGGAGGAGACCTGGAAAGACGCAGGAGCCCCAGGAGAAGGGCTCTCCTCTTTCCTCCTCCCGCCAGCGCAGCCAATCGAGCCGAGCCAGGAGGTGAGGCTCGACAGCAGTAACTCTGCCAACTTGAAGGAAACGTCAGGGTCTGGAGAATTTCCTCACGTGTTTCCAATGTGTTTTTTATGCATTTTATTGCTCATCTGCCATGCAGATCAAAAACGCTGGAGGGATTCCAACTATTTCACACAGAATCTCACACTCCAGGCTGGCTGCAGCCCCAAAGCCTGAGTTTCTTCACTTGAAATACTGCCCAGTGTTATTTTGGGATGTGACCTGATAGCGGAAGCCCACGGGGACCCTGAAACGATAACCGTTCCAGCTGCAATTGGTTGCCCAACCCGCGCCGATGCCAGCATGGGTTTGTCAGTACTGCTGACAAACACGGGCTCAGCAGCTAACACCTCCTTTTCACACCACAACAAAACCATGCCTGAAATCACACAATCTGGTACCCAACGGAGGGGGCAGGGGAGTTCATCTCTCGCGGGGGAAAGGGTTGCAAGTCCTGGCATGACCAACGCAAGGGAGCCGGTTAGTTTATGCTGGAAACAGCGAGAGGCTTCTTGTACGTGAAAAGAGGAACCACCACTTCACTATCTGATACGAGCTCGTTTGTTAAACAAAGATGAAACAAGAAGAAATACTTGAGATCAAGGTAACAGAAGCCCGGAGGAGAAGAGACCCAAGGCTTCGCTCCAGCCCATTCGACCCCTCTGGAAGAGCAGGAAGACTGACCAGAAAGCAAAGAAACCTCCTGGCTGGGCACTCAGCCTCTGCCCATTCCCAGCCCAAGAGCGCGCGAGAGGGGTGGGGGAAGCGGGAAGGAGCGCAGCGAGGCTGCAGTGATTGAGGCACTATCAGATCACCAGATAGCACTCAAGGAAATTATGATCTGGAGACGAGCACGTGGTGGAGCTTACAAATTCTGTAAGGCCAGTTGTTTCCATAAAGGTGCTTACAAGGAGGAGCAGAGAATAATGGTTAAATTTATTCCCTGATCCTTTCTGAAAGGGAAAAAGCCTCTTCATTGCTTCTGACTAATTGAAATACCTACTCTCTATCATAATTTCATTTCTCTGCAGTTTCTTTTCCACTCATTCAAGAACTATCAGCACTTAGAAGTCACAAGTTTGTCCTTCCCTTCCCCTTTATTTCCACGCCCAAAATACCTCAATCCTCTCTATCACAAAAATTACACAGCTGACTGGCAAGCTAGGATCTCCCTGCTATTTTGGGGAAATGGGTAGTTGTTCCTCCTTCTACAGCACAGACAACTGCCTCTGACGCCTCATAAGGCACTCTGTCTTGTGACACAAAGCGGCCTGGGGACCTCCCCATGCTCCGTCTTCAGACTTAGGGATTCCCATTGCATCCAGGAAGACATCTCGCAAAGCCGACTTGAGATTTTCATGGACATGATGGAAGGGTCTGGAGAGGGCTCTGCCACCGCCTTCCCACTGACCGCG